GAAAAGAAAAGCAATTGATGTAAAAACACATACACTGGATTTTATACAGAGGGAGAGTGTATGTGATTATCTTGTTGCTAAATTGTCTCAGAACGATATATGACTCTTGTGATGGAGAGATAAAGATTTCTATGCAGGGCTTAAAGTTATAGTGGCGTTCCTCCTCCCAACACGCGCCCGGGCCAATTCTCTCTTCAAGAATTTTCCCCAGTCTGCCTTTTTCCGCATAACTACGCGTTTATATAGATAAATCCGGCTGTTTATAACTGACCCTCGGCCATACTACTTTGCACGCGATTATCACGGGGTTCTGACTGCTTCAACCAAAATCATGTGAATTCCAAAGTTCCTTCCAGCTTACTCAGCTCTGTTTCAATTTTTAATGGATAAAAAATATTTCGACCATTTCCATTGTCTCCTGATGACCCAGATTCAATGGGTACAACTTCTGCCCTAGATCAGATTTCCCCATCAGTAAACAAAATGCTCTGATTTAATTTCGCTATTCAAATCTACTCTAATTTCACTAAAAAAGAATATACGTGTGTGTGTTTCTCAGACTCTCTCTCTCTCTCTCACACACACACACACACAATCTCTTTCTGTCACACATGAAAACTGGTTAATATTTCCCCAAAACTTTTGTTACCAGTATAATGATATTTCTGAAATTTACTTATTCCCATTGAGAAAACTGGTAAATATGAACATTTTCGTTCACGAAAAGTAGGTACAAAACGACATATGACTGAAAAACATCATTTATTTATTCTAGAATTACACAAGAGACACCACAAGAAAAATTTAGAAGTGAGTCTTTTTCCGTAATTTGCGTTTGAACTGCTTATTACTTTCATGAATTGGCCCATGAATATAATCTCTGTTGTGTATTCCAGGATGAAATCCGGTCTCCAATGAATGACAAACGCAGGAATAAAATATAGCAAATAAAATTTTTCTCCCCTGAATCGATACTTCAAATATACAAAAAAACCATTCGCCCTTGCATGGAGTATTGCTGCCATATATGGGCTGGAGCACCTTCTGCTTACCTCGGAGTTCTTGACAAGATCCAGAGAAGGATATGTAATCTAATTGGCCCTGATCTAGCGTCTTGTTTGCAGTCACTCTCTCACAGACGCGCCATCGCCTCTCTCTTTTTTCTACAAATACTTCCATGGTAACTGCTCTGATGAGCTGCTCTCTCTGGTTCCCAGACTCCATGAATTCAAGCGCCCTACGAGGCTGGCATCCCGCTCTCACCCTTACCCCGTAGAAACCTTCAAATGTAGCCGTCTCTTCTACTCCAATAGCGTCATACCTCGCACCTCTCGCCAGTGGAACACCCTACCCAATTACTGTTTCCCTGATAGCTATAATCTCCAACTATTCAAATGTAATGTCAATCGACATCTCCAATTACCTTGATCTACCCACTATCCTTCTCCTCTTCCTTTCTCTTATCACTCTTATCTGCTCTCGCTCCAAATCTTCCGCAACCCCCTGCATCCTAGTGGCTTCACGCCTTGCTTGGGGCACAATGCTTAAAAAAAAAAATGTATTGACGTAATAATACAATTGGTAATACGGTTAGTAGATCCAGAAATGCGGTTAGTAGCAATAATAATATATATATATATATATATATATATATATATATATATATATATATATATAGTCTGGGAAATTCAGTATCGAAGTAGGCCTTCATTCTGAGTCTACGTGCTCACAAAAATGACTCCTACAAAGCAGTTACCTCACACTCTCAAGTTCTCACTTCCTCACCCCCGGGTATTCACCGGCAGCAGTACAAGTACACACTGGGCGAGTCCACTTGTATAAAAAAGGGGTGGACCCCTTAAGAGTCTCCAATCATGTTTTCGTTATACGATCATTAGTCACGGCGTTCAAAGGTCCAGTTTCTGCTGGTGAAAATGTTGTGCTTTGTTCCGCTAAATACACCTCCCATTTTCTCCTTGAATTTATCAAGGTGAGCGTCAAGGATATGGAATTTGAGTTATTGGTCTGGTGATCCCCCAGCAAACCCCGAACGACTGCGGTAAAGCATTTGTGGTCCGACGAAGACACCGGCTTTGACTTTTACCGCAGACGGCTTAGGGGAGAAGTCTTGAAAGGTACGTGAAGGCAGAAGACTCCTTATGTAGAGCTGTAACAAATTGTTTCATAAGGTCCAGTTTTAAGTGTAGTGAAGGAAACAATATTTTCCTGGTGTCTAATAGTGACTCCCATTTGACGTTTTCCTCCTCACACTGTACTCGGTCCGCTATGGCCAGTCTTATCTGTCGTAGTGAGCGACGGTGTTACTGTTGTCCCAAAAGCAGAGATAACACGGAAAATTAGTAAAGCCGCCTTGGAGACCCATCATGAAGGATACCATTTTGAAGTCTCCGGTAACCTTCCAAACGCTTACTTCATATTTCAAGGAATCTAGCAAGAACGTGACACTGCTGTATTCCTCTTTGAGCAACACTGAGTTAACCACGGAAAGAGATGGATGTATATTCCTGTTAATTTATCTGACATGTTTATATGTCTACCATTCGTCCATACTTAGAATATTGCTGCTACACGTAGTACGGGACCCCTGCTATTTACCTTCAGCTCCTTGATAAGATCCAAAGAAGAATCAGCAATATTATTAGTCCTGATATGACGACTCGGCTCCAGTCATTTAGCCACTGTAAGGTTGGCCTATCTGTGAGCTTTTTATAAATATTTTCATGGCAATTGTTCGGATGAGCTCTTCGCTATGGCGCCTAGACTAGAGTTTATGCGCAGTAATAGACTACCGTCGAGATCTCATCAATTTAAAGTTGAGAAAGCTAGAACCGTGAGTTCTATGCTAGCTGTTTCTTTTCTCACACTTCTCGCTTGTGGAGCCCCCTTCCGGCACTTTGCTTTTCAAGCAACTTTAATCTTCAAAAATTTAAATGCCATGTCACCTACCTACTGTCCTCCTGATTACTTTTACTCTGTTCTCGCTCCCAAGTAAATGTTCCTGTTTCTAACTCGTCCACACCCCAGTAACCCCTTTTGTTCCACCCTTGCTTGGAGTGAATTCGATTTTTAAAAAAATACAAAATGAAACAAAAAAAAAAAACAAACAAAAAAAAACAAGCAAGACTATCCATCTTACCTTCTAAAGTTGGCATGTGAAATAAATTGCCCAGGGTTTGTTTTGACTCTCGTCAGACAATCCGAAATCTGCCTTCTAGGTCTCACATCTTTTAGTAGATGTTTAGTAGATGATGCCACGGAGTATTTTTTCGCTCTTCACTTGATAGATTCGCCACAGACATAGCAACTTGCATCTGATGGATGCTTACAATCGACGAGGACTTGTCTGAAAATTGGACAGCTAGAAGTAAACTGAACTACTGATCTGTATTTATACTGCCATCCATGTTGCCAGAACATTCTAGAAATTCTGGAAACTTTTACAAACTTCTGGAAACTTCAAGAAAATTCTCGTTCTGCAACTCAACGCGGAATCTGTCTGAAATGTAATAGAAAATAGGTTATTTTCAATACATCGATGTCCAGGTCGTAAGAGAACAGTTTGAATGGAATAATAGTCATTTTCTTTTGCTTTCTATACAGAAGGAATTTGGAAATAACACTTACTGAATAAAGACTTAAAAGTCAAAATTTGTTACACAGTGAATCACCAATGTATATTCTTATCAAAGGCTGCCTAAGGTTCTATGCATTTAGAGTCGATGAGTCTAAGGAATGGTTAGACTAATGTCAACATTTTTTACCATTTGATATTACGTCATTTCACTGTGAAAAAAACCCAAGAAAATTCTGTTTCCATTCAAATATTTTCATCTAGTAAATAATGTTCAATTTTTTACTCAAAGATATGACACAGAAATCCGAACATGAATAACAATAGCGTAATAAGACTTCCAGAAAGTAAATAATGTCCTAGATCCTTAATAAAAGATAGGATGGTTTTATGGGGGTAAAATTTAATTATTTCACCACAAGCAAGACGGTAATGCCACAAAGACACAAGGGGTTACTGGGTGTCAAAGAAAATGACAAAACGTTATTGAGAAGTACAATAAATGAACAGGATTCAGAAAGACAGAAGAATGCAATTGATGTTGCATTTAAATGTCTAAAGATCATGCGTGACAGGGAAGCAAGAAGCCATAAGGATGTCCCACACGCGAGAAGTACGAAAAAAGAAACTTTTAGAAGAGAACTTACGGTTGCATCAAAATGGTGTAATAATAAAAACGGAAAATCATTTAAAAGGTCAAAAATATAAAATTTCAGAAAAGAACCTTTTTTTTTTCTTTTTTTTTTTTGCTGCAATATCCTAACCTTGTTTCCAGGACTGCTTCCATTTGCCCTGTCAAAACTTAGAATGCGGAAAAGCTTACATAAATTAAATATCAACTCGCATAAAAATTTCAAAAACGCTCGTACACAATTATCTTATCCGGAAGTGCAAGGAATTCTGGGAGCAAGGTCACTGTGAAAACGAAAACCTTGAACCAACTATAGTGATTACTGTTTCCTGTTTGAACTCTTGGGAGAAATGAATTAATAAACGGGTATGTCTTAATAATTCCCATTATGTACACAGGAATATTAAAACATAAAAAAATGACCATTCTACACTGGTGACCTTGTGCCAGACTAAGCTAAACACAAAAAATATATAATAGTGGGCAAAATCTACCCAGTACTGAACCCGAACCTCCCTGGGAATCCCGTAATTATAATCCTGTGCCAGATTATGATAAACGTTGTAAATACTTGTCGCTCGCACCGTGGAGTAACAGTTAACGAGCAAATCTCATATATTATTAATATGTAATTAGTTCGATTCCCTTAGGGTACCTCCTACTGTGATGACTCAAATGAACTGAATAAATATCTGTATCCTTGTACAGTTGACGAACTGTCAGAATGAAGTGAGATTCAAGAGAAAGAATTGGAATCAGTTAACAGTAGTTAAAGTTATGTCAGTAAAGATTCTGCCAAAATCTACCCACGCAGTAAATGGTCGGCCGATCCGGGTGGGGTGAAACCGTTGGGTGCAGGTGATACTGTCAGTGATTTGTTTGTTAACAAACGAGGCTGATGTTAAATTTATCCATATCTATCTATCTATCTATCTATCTATCTATCTATCTATCTGTCTCAGTCTGTTCATATCTATCTATCTATCTATCTATCTCAGTCTGTTCATATCTATCTATCTAACTATCTATCTCAGTCTGTTCATATCTATCTATCTATCTATCTATCTATCTGTCTGTCTGTCTGTCTCAGTCTCCATTCCATCCCCAGTCCGTCCATCTATCTATCTATCTATCTCATCTATTATCATCCATCTATCTCCAGTCTGTTCATATCTATCTATCTATCCATCTCCATAACCATCTATCTCAGTCTATCATCCATCTATCCCAGTCCGTTCATATCTATCTATCTATCTATCTATCTATCTATCTATCTATCTATCTGTCTGTCTCAGTGTTGTTCTATCTATCTATCTATCTATCTATCCATCTATCTATCTATCTCAGTCTGTTCATATCTATCTATCTATCTATCTATCTATCATCTGTCCCATCATCTATCTATCTATCTATCCATCTGTCTATCTGTCTGTCTGTCTCAGTCTGTTCATATCTATCTATCTATCTATCTCAGTCTGTCTTTCCATCCATCCATCCATATCTATCTATCTATCTATCTATCTATCTATCTCCGTCCCAGCAGTCTCCGTTCATCTATCTATCTATCTATCTATCTATCTATCTATCTATCTATCCATCTATCTATCTGTCTGTCTCAGTTTGTCCATCATCTTCTATCTATCTATCTATCTATCTATCTATCTATCTATCAGTCTGTCTCTATCTATCTATCTATCTATCTATCCATCTCTATCTGATCTATCAGCATATCTATCAAATTTCCATCTATCCCCAGTCTTTTGTTCATGTCTCTATCTATCTATCTCTATCTATCTATCTATCTGTCACCGTGTTAATATATCTATCTATCCATCTATATCTATCCATCCATCCAGTCTGTTCATATCTAATCAATCCATCTATCCATCCATCTATCTATGTATATATCTATCTATATCTATCCATCCATCTATCTATCTATCTGTCTGTCTGTCCATGTGTGCATCTATCTGTCTATCTCTGTCTCAGCTGTGTATCTATCTATCCATCTATCCATCTATCTATCTCAGTCTGTTCATATCTATCTATCTATCTATATATCTATCTATCTGTCTGTCTCAGTTTGTTCTATCCATCTATCTATCTATTTCTATCTATCTATCTATCTATCTATCTATCTTGTCATATCTATCTATCTATCCATCCATCTATCCATCTCCAGTCTGTTTCATCCATCTATTTATCTATCCTATCTAATCATCAACTCCCAGTCTGTTCATTCCATCTATCTATCTAGATCGTCTGTCTCAGAATCTATCTATTATCTATCTATCTAGAAATCTATCTATCTATCTATCTATCTCTGTCTGTCGGGAATCATATCTATCTATCTATCTATCTCCATCTATTTCTATCTCCGGTTCATCCCATCTATCTATCATCTATCTATCTATCTGTCTGTCCCAGTTTGTTTTATCTATCTATCCATCTAATCTATCTCAGTCTGTTCACAAATCCTATCTATCCATCTATCTATCCAGTTAATTCTATCTATCTATCTAATTATCTATCTATCTATTCAGTATGTCTGTTCAAATCAATCGTCTATCTAGATCTATCTGTCTGTCCCAGGTTCACTATCTATCTGATCGATCTGATCTAGGAATCTATCTCCAGTATCTGTCCATCTATCATCTATCTATCTATCCATCTGTCTGTCTCAGTTTGTTCAATCTATCAATCTAATCTATCCATCTATCTATCTAATCTCGGTCGTCTAGCTTCATCTATCTATCCAGATCTATCTGTCTATTTGACAATCTATAAATTATCTATCTATCTTCGTTGTATTTCTAGGTATCTTAATGTCTATCTGTCTGTCTCAGTTTGTTCAAATCTATCTATCTATATTAAAAATCTATCACTGCAAAACGTTAATCTATCTATCTGTCTGTCTCAGTTTGTTCAAAATCTATCTATCTAAAAATCTATCTATCTCCAAAAAAAATCTATTATCTGTCTGTCTGTCCCATATAAAAATCAATCTATATCTATCTATCTATCTCAGGTATATCTATCTATCATATTTGATCTGTCTTCTCAGTTTGTTCAAATCTTATCATCTATCTTAATCTATCTATCTAGTCTGTTCAATCTAAATCTATCCATCTTTATCATCAAAATCATTCAGTCTGTTCATATAAAAATCTAAGCTATCGGTAGAGCGGAATCTATCTATCTATCCAATCAAAAATCTATCTATCTATTTCATGATTATTTGTTCATATCTAATAATATACGTCATCTATCTCAGTCTATATTTCTATCTATTATCTTCTATCTTTTATACAAATTTATCTACCCCATAATAATCTCTCTATCTATCTATGTAGAGTCCCGTCTAAATTTTCATCTATGTATATATATTTATATATATATATTTGAATTTTGTGTGTGTGTATTTCCTGTGTTAATATATGTCTATATCGAGCTATCGCAATCTTTTTCTAAATCTCATAATCTTTTTCATATTTAATTAATAAATAAACTATCTTTCTAGTTCCGAGACGATTTTGTTATGAAATACCTAACCTATAATTTTAGTCCACCATGCAGACTAAGAGTGCTTTACTACTAAACTGTTAAATATTTGATAATTATAGACATTCAGTAAAAACAACTTAACAAAATAATTAGTGGATTATCTGTACAACTTGCCTGAAAAATGTAAAAGGCGTAATATTAGGTATTTGACAATTAAATTTACTTCGTTGTATTTGAAATCTTAATGTAAGGTATAAAAAATAAAACGATTCCAAACAAAAAAATAATATAAAAAAGCAAGGTATATTCAATTTTACTTTGAAGTTAGACGTTGGAAGTAAACCATCTTTATCACATTACTGTATATAAAAACAAGTTATCTTTTTTCTTGATTATTGTAATAATATACGTCAAAGCTATTTTACTATTATTTCTTTTTACACTACCGATAATAATAACTAGTAGAGCCCGTGAAATTTTCATGATTTTCGTATTTGAATTTTCCTGTGAATCCTAAATCCATAATTAATTAATAAATAAACGCCTTTCTAGTTCCACGATTATGAAATACCCGTGGAATTTCCACCATGTCTTCGTTAAATATTTGAGCTTCGCAACCTTAACAAAATATTGTAATAACAATAAGTATAATATTAGGTCATTATTTACAGAAATAAACGGAAACAAATAAAATGATTCCAAACTAACAAGGATTTCAATTTTACTGAAGTAGACGTTAAGCACATTAGTACGTTACTTTTCTTACTTTCTTTCTTTCATTCTTTCTTAGCCTCTTTATATGCTTGTTCCTTTAAGCTCTTTTCTTTCTTTTTTCTTTTTTCTTTCTTTCTTTGCCTCCTTCTCCATATATGTTTGTTTCTTTAATCTCCTACATTTCTTTCTTTCTTTCTTTCTTTCTTTCTTTCTTTCAAAAAAAAAAACAGCGCCTCACTTATATCCTTTTCTCCCATCTTTCCTCGTAATGAAAACGGGATGGTCAGTTACGTATCTGAGATAATGGCAAGGCGTGAGATACGTAAGTACTCACGATAAGACTTCAACTTTCAAAGGAAAGAAAAAAAAAGACAATTGGCAAACGCCTACCTACTCAGTAAAATGGTCAACGCCAAGTTTATCTTGAAAAAGCAAAAAACACTTCAAAACTTTGTCGAAAGAAGCTGTTCGTGTGAAACTTACATCTCACTAATGGAATACAAATGAAATGAGGGTGCACTATTTACATTATTCGGACTATTGTCCTCATCTTTGTCGCCATGTTTATCACAACGTTTCGGCCGTTGTACGCTCCGGCCTTCTTCAGGTGGTTGGAATGTCGAACTGAACCCTTTATTTTGCTCACTGGAAGAAGGTCGGAGCGTACAACAGCCGAAACGTTGTGGTAAACATGGCGACAAATATGAGAACAATAGTCCGAATAATGTAAATATTGTACATAATGCCTCATCTCAGAAATATACAAAGGAATGAGGATGGTTTGCTACAATAGGCATGGTATGGCTGGTCTTAGCTGTAATGATTAGTGCCGGTGGAATCTAAGGTATGTAGTATGTCGGAATACTTTCAATCGAAATAGCAATTAGTAGCGAGAGGCTTGCAACGTTTTCCCTGTGGGAAATGGTTTGTAGCGTGGTAAATAATTCATTACCCACAAGGCCGTGGCATTGAATGAGACCAGCCAATTAATATCAATTACAAGGTGAGCAATCAAAATGGTGGAAAGAGTGACATTGATGACAATAATCGTAAACGAGGAAACAGTATCCCTCCTTTTACACAGTACGAAACCGTCGCCCAGTCCTACAACCAGCACCATGGCTAGCAATATGCAACCACTGCCCGCATGGGTAGATCTGAAAGCCAAACGAATAAGATGAGTACATCTCGAAGTCAAACGAAAAAGAAAATGAGGGGGAACAAAAGAAAACTGTAACAACCTGAGGACGACGAGAGGGGAGGATGGTGTGTGGTGACGAGATCAAGTTGTATAACGGCATCTGACAGCTGGGGGGGGGGCACCACTTACCCATCCCAAGCGTTTCGCTTAAACAACAGCCGTCGTTCTACAAATGATTCGGAGACGGTGGTGGGGATTTTATAAGCAGATAAAAAAACTGCAATAAAAAAAAATTTGCTTTTTTTACTTTCGTTTTTATTTTTTATTTTTTTATACTGATGTACATTTTTTTCTGCATTTTTTAAGATGCTTCTAAAATGCTAAAGTGAATCAATGGGTATAATAATAAAAAAAAAAAAAAAGAAAGAAAAATATCCAAACCAGAGTTTGGGGATCACTCGGTAAGGATCAAATTCACACAAAAGTCGGAAGAAATGCTTAATGAAAATTATTTATCAATATTTTTTATTCCCCTGTTTTATGAATTCAGTAAATATACTGTTATGGTTCAGATTAGGACAAAGGAAGAACAACACGAACACAAGAGTAGAAATAACGAAGGTATATTACATGAAATAATAATACAACATGCGGAAGGTGTTAGTATGACTGTCAGTCTGGTTTGGAGTGAACTACTATCGACTCGTCTCGATTCGGTATCTAGCCACCCCCCCCCCACGAGGGTTGCATATGGCACAAGGCCGAGTTTAACGTGGATTTCCCGAGCCCGTATGCTCGGCCAGAAAATGCCCGTAGAAACTGTAAAAACAGAATCGGGTTGGTCAACATCCCTGAACGAGACTCTGCACTTCGGCGGAGCCTCGTCCGGGTTCCTCTCTGCTCAGAGGCGGAGAGTTCGACCGTCAAGCCAGGAAGCTCGGCTTGATTCGGTATCCCACCCCCCACGAGGGTTGCATGGGTTCCGCTGGGCACAAGGCCGAGTTTTACGTGGGTTTCCCGAGCCCGTAGGATCGGCCAAACAATGCCCGTATAACCCGTATAAAAAGAGATCGGTTAAGCGGAAGCGACTATTCTCTCCCCGAACGAGATACTGACCTTCGGCGGAACCTCGTCTCGGGTTCCTCTCATTCTCAGAGGCAGAGGTTCCTCTGCTCCTCAGTTTCGACCGTCAAGCCGAGAAGCTTGACTTGATTCGGTATCTAGCCCCCCCACGAGGGTTGCATGTGGCACAAGGCCGAGTTTATCGTGGGTTTCCTGAGCCCGTAGGCTCGGCCAAAAAATGCCCGTATAACTCGTAAAAACGAGATCGGTAGGTCATTTTCCTCGAACGAGATACTGCCCTTCAATCAGAACCCCGTCGGGTTCCATTTCTGCTCAGAGGCAGAGTTCGACCGTCAAGCCGAGAAGCTTGACTTGATTCAGTATCTAGCCCCCTCCACGAGGGTTGCATGTGACGACACAAGGTCGTTTTTATCGGGGTTTCCTGAGCCCCGTAGGCTCAGCCAAAAATATGCCCGTATGACTCGTAAAAACGAGATCAGGGTAGGTCTTTTCACCCCGAACGAGATTCTGCCCTTCGGCGGAACCTCGTCCGGGTTCCTTTCTGCTTCACCGTCAAGCAGATTCAGCCAGAGGTTCGACCGTCATTTTATCGTGGGTTCCTGGGCCGAGAAGATCGGCTTAAAAACGATTCGGTATTCAGCCGACCCCCACGAGGGGTTGCATGCGACACAAGATCATTTTTATCGTGGGTTTCCTGAGCCCGTAGGCTCAGCCAAAAATATGCCCGAATAACTCGTAAAAACGAGATCAGGGTAGGTCATTTCACCCCGAACGAGATTCTGCCCTTCGGCGGAACCTCGTCCGGGTTCCTTTCTGCTCAAAAGCAGAGAGTTCGACCGTCAAGCCGAGAAGATCGGCTTGATTCGGTATCTAGCCACCCCCCCACGAGGGTTGCATGTGACACAAGGTCGTTTTTATCGTGGGTTTCCTGAGCCCGTAGGCTCAGCCAAAAATATGCCCGTATGACTCGTAAAAACGAGATCAGGGTAGGTCATTCACCCCGAACGAGATTCTGCCCTTCGGCGGAACCTCGTCCGGGTTCCTTTCTGCTCAAAAGCAGAGAGTTCGACCGTCAAGTCGAGAAGATCGGCTTGATTCGGTATCTAGCCACCCCCCACGAGGGGTTGCATGCGACACAAGGTCATTTTTATCGTTGGTTTCCTGAGCCCGTAGGCTCAGCCAAAATATGCCCGAATGACTCGTAAAAACGAGATAGGGTAGGTCATTCACCCCGAACGAGATTCTGCCCTTCGGCGGAACCTCGTCCGGGTTCCTTTCTGCTCAAAAGCAGAGAAAGACCATCAAGCCGAGAAGATCGGCTTGATTCGGTATCTAGCCACCCCCCACGAGGGTTGCATGTGACACAAGGTCGTCGTTTTATCGTGGGTTTCCTGAGCCCGTAGGCTCAGCCAAAAAATGCCCGTATGACTCGTAAAAACGAGATCAGGGTAGGTCTTTCACCCCGAACGAGATTCTGCCCTTCGGCGGAACCTCGTCCGGGTTCCTTTCTGCTCAAAAGCAGAGAGTTCGACCGTCAAGCCGAAAAGATCGGCGATTCGGTATCTAGCCACCCCCCACGAGGGTTGCATGCGACACAAGGTCATTTTTTATCGTGGGTTTCCTGAGCCCGTAGGCTCAGCCAAAAATATGCCCGTATGACTCGTAAAAACGAGATCAGGGTAGGTCATTCACCCCGAACGAGATTCTGCCCTTCGGCGGAACCTCGTCCGGGTTCCTTTTTGCTCAAAAGCAGAGAGTTCGACCGTCAAGCGAGAAGATCGGCTTGATTCGGTATCTAGCCACCCCCCACGAGGGTTGCATGCGACACAAGGTCATTTTTATCGTGGGTTTCCTGAGCCCGTAGGCTCAGCCAAAAATATGCCTCGTATGACTCGTAAAAACGAGATCAGGGTAGGTCATTTTTATCGTGGGTTTCCTGACCCCGAACGAGATTCCCGTGCCTTCGGCGGAACCTCGTCCGGGTTCCTTTCCTTTCTGCTCAAAAGCTGAGAGTTCGACCGTCAAGTCGAAAAGATCGGCTTGATTCGGTATCTAGCCACCCCCCACGAGGGTTGCATGTGACACAAGGTCGATTTTTTCGTGGGTTTTCCTGACCAAAATATGCCCGTATAACCCGTAAAACGAGATCGGGTTTTTCTCCCCGAACGAGATTCTGCCTTCGGCGGAACCTCGTCCGGGTTCCTTGCTCAAAAGCAGAGAGTTCGACCGTCAAGTCGAAAAAGATCGGCTTGATTCAGCCCCCCACGAGGGGTGCATGCGACACAAGGCCATTTTTATCGTGCTTTACCAGGCCAAAAATGCTCGTAAAAAACGTATGACTCTGCCCTTCGGCAGAACCTCGTAAAACGAGATCGAGGGTAGGACACAAGGTCTTTCACCCCGAACGAGATTCTGCCCTTCGGCGGAACCTCGTCCGGGTTCCTTTCTGCTCAAAAGCAGAGAGTTCGACCGTCAAGCCGAGAAGATCGGCTTGATTCGGTATCTAGCCACCCCCCCACGAGGGTTGCATGCGACACAAGGTCATTTTTATCGTGGGTTTCCTGAGCCCGTAGGCTCAGCCAAAAATATGCCCGTATGACTCGTAAAAACGAGATCAGGGTAGGTCTTTCACCCCGAACGAGATTCTGCCCTTCGGCGGAACCTCGTCCGGGTTCCTTTCTGCTCAAAAGCTGAGAGTTCGACCGTCAAGCCGAGAAGATCGGCTTGATTCGGTATCTAGCCACCCCCACGAGGGTTGCATGCGACACAAGGTCATTTTATCGTGGGTTTCCTGAGCCCGTAGGCTCAGCCAAAAAATATGCCCGTATGACTCGTAAAAACGAGATCCGGGTAGGTCATTCACCCCGAACGAGATTCTGCCCTTCGGCGGAACCTCGTCCGGGTTCCTTTTCTGCTCAAAAAGAGAGTTCGACCGTCAAGCCGAAAAGATCGGCTTGATTCGGTATCTAGCCACCCCCACGAGGGTTGCATGCGACACAAAGGTCATTTTTATCGTGGGTTTCCCGAGCCCGTAGGCTCAGCCAA